ACCCCCATTGACTCTGACACCATTTGCCAGAGCAGTTTCCGTGGCAGCGTGCTGAGCAAAGACTGATGTGTAAAGAGAATCCAAGCAGAGGGAGGAAGAGGACACTTTTAAGTGCCAAGGGTTTTGGGTTTTGACTCCTCTTGTTTTAGGCTGTTTGACTTAAGCTTGTTTATTAACTGAGGGGGGAAAATGTAATTAAAAAAAATGGAAGGTTATACTCTAAAGGGATTTTTTTCCAACATTTATTTTTCTAGCTTTCATGAAAAATCATATTTGTATTTAGTTTTTACAAGGTCACTCTTCATTTCAATGTATATCGGTTAAAATTCGCAGATTTGTTTGTTTTTTCCATTACAATTTTTAGGTTAGCTGATTCCTGATTAAATCGCAGAGGGATAAGGGGTGCCTGGCTGGCTCAGGTGGTAGAGCATGTGACTTGATCTCAGGTTTGTGAGTTCAAGCCTTATGTTTGGCACAGAGTTTACTTAGAAAAAAAAGTTGGGGAGGGACCGGATTTTTCTCACTTGGAGCTATCTTCAAATCACAAAGGAAGTTTCTGGTGTTCCAAGAGTTCCCAAATGATGCAAAGAAGTGAAATTCCCTAGTCAAGTAAATTTGAGAAAGGCTGTACATTTAAAATCTCCCTCTGAGAGGCTGACAAAGGACATTAGCATATTAAAGCCCTGAGATGTCCTACGTTAAGCAAAACAAACAAACAAAAAACCTGTTTAACAGTTTAACAAATTCATTTCCCCCAGGGAAATGCTTTTTATTCTGTATGTTATTAGCATGGCAGAAGAATTTCCCCTTAACACCAGTTTAGGAAACCCAGCCATAGCAAATTGGTTCTACCTATGTTCTGTGGATTCCTGTTCGGTTTTAGAATACAGAAGTTCTTCTCCATCTTATTTCTATATGTAGGGATTCACATTACCTCAGGGACTTAGAGCCATCCCTAGACTTTCTATAGTGAAGAATAGTGGTGACACCACCAATTACCTTGGGGACCCCTTTATAACACCATGGTGAAGGGAATTAACAAAAGATTGGACAGAGAAGGGCCACCTGGGTGGCTCAGTCGGTTGAGCATCTGACTCTTGATTTTGGCTCAGGTTATGTTCTCAGGGTCCTGAGATCAGGCCCCACATCAAGCTCTGCGCTCAGAGCAGAGTCTACTTGTTCCTCTCCCTCTGCTGCCCCCTACACATCCTCCCTTCATTTTCTCTCTCTCTCTCTCAAATAAATTTTAAAAATCTTAAAAAAAAAAAAAAAGATTGGACAGAGGATAAAGATGGTTGAGGAGAGGTCAGTAAGAGACAATATCTTTAATTAATGTTAATGAAATTTCCTGCTCTGTGAAAGGATTGGTAATTTGTTAGAAACTTTTCTAGAAGGATATGATTGAAGACAGGATCAAAGTGCCTCCTTGCGTGTCTGGAGGTAGCGATCAACTAAACTACAATTACTTTAAATTAAGACATACAGCTGGAGATGGTAGCATATGTTGAGTTTCCAATGAAGTAATCATGATATAATCCTCCCAGAAATGGGTGATCTAATTATGGACTGAAAGGGGAAAATGGTGGAGCACAGATATGTCAGCGTGGCAGGGTGCAGGCTCCAGCGTCACGCAGGGAAGAGCAGAAAGCAGTGGGATTCAGGGTGGTCCCAGTATGAACCCTGATGGGGCTAGCTTGAACTGGCAGCCAACCTTATCCTGCCCATCTTTTAAAGGGATTACTTAAGGACAACTAGTTAAGTACCACTTTTTTTTTTTAAGATTGCTATTTCACATATATACTAGTATTTAAATTCATCCACACATCAAGAATTGGAAGACAGTCATCATTAACATGAAGCCTAAAATAATGTTTTGGCTCCAGGCTCCCTCTACTGTCTCTGCAATAAGAGACAAACATTTTATGGCACTCTCCTGACTGGATTCCAATATTTGTGGAAGTTGAATAAACACAATACTTGTGCAATGATAAAGGATAGCCTCAGTATGATAATCAGTAAGTTCAGTATTTGGAGAGAGTTGGAAAATTATAAACCAGTTAATGAAATATTTACATAGATGGAACCATATAAAGTTGTCATTATTTGACTGTGTTTAATCCACAAATGGCTATTTCATATGGTTCAACCTTATATATGGACATTTGTCAAAGATTAGTAAGGTGTGTGTGTGTGTGTGTGTGTGTGTGTGTTGGGGAGTTGTTAACTGCTTTTAATCTCTATCATGAAATTCCCTAAATACATTGGTTAATTTACATGATGCTTTTTTTTTTTAATTTACATGATGCTTCTTGACCAAAATTAACTACAGGATATGTTAAATCCAGTGTCTCATATACAATATAGTATATCCTATAACTTGGGTTTAGAAGAAAGAAATCTGCTTTCAGTTTAAAAAGTGTGAAGATACAAAATGTTT